TTTTTAACAATTGAATTTGCAAAGACTAAAAAGATAATTGAAATGAAAATGTTACCCAAGCCGACAACTCCGACAAATATCTGGATCACATTCATGATTAATAGCAACGCAAGGACATTGTCGATTTATGCATTGACCTATTGCGCAATTACATCCTTTAAAACGATTGTTGCAAATCTTTGCGCACCTGAATAAAATATAAACTTATGATTTAAAGATATTGTAGTCTAGTGGTTTGTGGTTTTGAGATCACTCTGTTTCTATTTAGTTTCAAACCAGCATAATGCATACGATTTAGAAAAAAAAAAAAAAGAATTTAGGCGGAGTAATCCATCGTGAAATTTATTTCCGCAAAATTCGTATAGTCCAAACTAAATCCCATGAAAAGAATGACATACCCGCAATATTTTTCGCAGCAATTTCCAGTAGCTATACAGGGGCATTGATCTCCACAAATTGGCTTGCAAGTGCATGGTGTGTACTGCTGTATTTCCTTGATTTCTCCTTTAGCTATTTTTTTCAAAGCAGGCGGATAAAGAGCATATTTTCGAAGTCTTTTGCGGACCAACTTCTTACCACTCTTTCGAGATACTTGTTTATTAACCTGTAATGAAATCGGTCATCAATATATATGAAACTTGAATACTTTATGTCATGAATATTAGAACGTACATAGTTTCATTTATTACCACCAGATTCTCTGTTTCTGCAGTTTGGCTATCTTCGTGCATGTAATTGTAAACCTCTAAGCACGTCTTAAAAGTAAGTAAGTTTCTTGTAATAAGACAACTGCGAAAAAGCATGAAAAAGGTTAACACATAAGTATAAGTTATGAGTATAAGTATTGGAAATTAGCACGAGATTAATTAACAAATATTGTCCGTCCGTGGATGCATGTAACGTATTTATGTCAATTTCTACGTGAACATTTTGATAAATATTTTTTCAAACTATAATCGAAAACTATCGTTGTTTCTAAATATTAAGACCATAAATCCATTTTTGAATTTTTACCTGTTTCTCCCAAAGATTTCAACTCCTTTAAAGTAAAGATCTTTTTCCAAAGGCGTCCACTCATTATATGCTTGGGGTACAATAGACATCTCTGAGAAATCTTTTGTTACTTGATTAGTATCAGTTTTTACACAATCTTCAGTTTCTTTGTTTGTATCTGATACCACATCCTTCTCTTTCTTGTTGGATATAGAGTTATCATTATTGACCATAGTATCAGCTTCTGTGACATTCCCTAGCTG